TTTATGTTAATATTAGCATAGTTAGCAGATTTTAAAGATAGCATGAAATATAACAATGTAGAAAGAATTTTATATTAGGCTAAATTTAGAAAAAGAAATGTCATGCATCCTGCTTAATTGTGCACATTAAAGGTAAATTTGTAAGAATGTGGTTTCACATTCTCTATGAAAATTCACATTGTATATTTTTAGGTCATTGGATTTAAAGCTGTTCATGAACTCTTCAACATCAAAATTACTTGTTATATATAAGCTTAAGAAAGCGTGAAATTCATGTAACATGTAAGCAGCAGGCTCAAACACATCAACAGTCCACTCTGTGGAGGTCAGATCCCCTGAGACCACTAGACCCTGAGAAGTGAGTGTTTAACAGTAGCATGGCTTCTTCATCAGATGGCTTATTCGCGGAAATTAATGGGATAATAACCCGATGAGAGATTGTCATGAGCTAACTCGGAGTTATCCTTCTCTTAGAGAGGTTTGGCTGATGTGAGCAAAATCCTCAATCCATACGTGTAGTGCTTTCCACAAATTTAAAAGGATTTAGAATGGCATTAGAGATACAAATCCCATGTTTTTGTTGTATATACAATATATAATATATATACTGTACACTATTGTCCAGTTTGGAATACTTAAGATATTAAGATAAGTAAAAATAGAACTATTGTCAATTATTAATCAAATTTAAAATGTTCTTTGTTTTACTATATTTAAAAAAGTGCTTTATTCCTGTGGTGGCAAAGCAGAAATTTCAGCAGCCATTACTCCAGTTTTCAGTGTCACATGATCCTTCAGAAATTATGCTAATATGCTGATTTGGTGCTCAAGAAATATTTATTGTTATCAGTGTTTAAAAAATGCTGCCTCATATTTTTGTGGAAACTGTGATACACTACGAAAGGTATTTATTTATTTATTTTAATTGATTGAAAAAATGTGAAAAAATTCAGGCCTTTTTTTTTTTTTTTTACCTTTTTAATGCCTAATCATGTAGCTTTAGTCCTGAATATTTAATTTATCTTAAATGTTGTCTTCTGTCCGGTGCAGAGCAGACGTAAGTGAGGGAGCTTAAATTAACTTTATAAACTGCACTCAAGGGAGTGTTGGATTGGATCAGTGAGGGCCTAGGAAAGTCAAGCATGCCTTCTTGTCAGGTGACGTGATAAAGTATGAGTAGAGGCTGCTGAAGACAATGAGTGGTGACCGTGCAGGTAAACTCAGCTTTGGAACAGAAGACATTGGATTAGCGGCAGCTGCAAAACCCACGCATTTACTCAGCTGGCACTCCGATATCGAATTTCACCCGAACAATGCCATGTGTTTGGAAACAAACATGACTCCCAAGCATCTCAAATGCATCTCTGCTGAATCTGTGGGGAACACAGAATATAAAGCCTATATAAGTACTGTTTTTACAAGTGGAGGTTGAATTTATGTCTTTGCTTTAAATGTTTTTATATTGTACAACATCCACTGTTTATTTGGGATTTGGGGTGTGGACTGATCACCTAATCTGATTCTTGATATTCTGTTTGCATTGTTTATAATGAACACATACTATAACTATAGAAGTGTTTATAACATAATCACACATAATCGTTATTGCCAGCTTCCTCTTCTTGTGAATATATGTCTACTTTATCAAAAAAGGCAGAAATCTCAGTATAGTTTGATAAGACACATCTGTATTTTAGCCTTTAGCCAGTAATAAGAGGAAGTGTACATTCCAAGTAAAGCTAATAAAAAGCAAAAACAAGCAGGTCCTGCAGCCCTCCTGCCATCTGCCACTGATTTGAGCAAAATTACCTAGTGAACCATTTGCTAATTCCTAAAATAAATAAATAAATAAAATGTTTCGTTTCTGCTCCTTAATTACAGTTGAGGCTAGTTTCAAACTTTGTTACTATATTTGAATACAAACTCCAAAAAACACTGTGGAACGTTAGGCACAAATTAAAAAGCAAATATGCTTCCTTTTTGCAGGAAGAGGCTTTTTAAAAGACATTACATTTGGCTATGCTATGACTGTCATCCTTGCCTTGGGAAACATCCTTGGGAAAAAAAAAGCCTAATTGGTAGAGTGGCGTTTAACCCAAACTCTCCCACCAATATCAGTATCTCAAAATTGTGGGAATATAAATTCTCATGAGGGAATACATATGAGAGAGTCAAACACTTACCGCACCATTATTTCAGGCTCTCCCATCAGCCTCTGTGTTTCTTGACAGCAAATGTGAGGGGAGGGGTTCTGCTGGTGGATTCTGGGATGGTGACACCTGCAGCGCCTTTGAAAGGCATGCTGTTTCTGTTCACCCTTGTGTCTGTGGATGTTGTATGGAGGTGGAGAAAGGAACCAGGCCCCTTACCTGTGCAAGACCAGGGACTCTGGCCGAGCCGGGCCTCGGTTGGCAGATTGGTAATGAGCGGCTGTATGTGGTGAGGCTCAGGCACAGTACCGGCCCCCTGGGGGAAATGTGGTGCAGGATAATGAGAGGGCTGAAACTCTTAATGTGGCGGTGATTCATGGAGACCATCCATCCGGATTACCTTTCTCACTGTGTGCACAATGTGGACAAGGATTCCCAGGGTTAGAAACAACACCACCAGATTGGCCTAGCAAGCCCTCGGGGAGATGGGCCTTTCCCAGGGTACAAACACTGTGGTGCACGTTGGGTTAATATGAACTGTAAATACCTGTTTGTTCCAAAATGCAGTTACAGAAAGGTGTGAAACACAAACACAAATAACTGCAAAAGGCCATGTAGCAGTCGGTCGAACGGTTAAAAGAGAAACGACGAGTGCCGCTTTGACACCTCAGTGTTGTTCTATCTATCTATCTATCTATCTATCTATCTATCTATATTGTCATTCTGTCTGTAAGGCCTATAAGCCTTTCAACTTCAAGGCTTTTAAAACTTTTTACTGGATGTGTCAAACTAACATTTAAAGTTTATTTAGAATTATAGTTCATTTTAATTCTACTTCCTTGCTTTTAAATTTGAATTGTAATTCTGCATCTTTTTTGTTGCATACATTACTATTTAAATTCAGGGATTAAATAGAAATTTTGATTGAAATTGTCACATAACCCTGGTGTGAGCAGGAATGGTTTAAACTACTAAAGACTAAAATGACACATGTATGTTAGGTGGAGGCTTTTGTATTTGGCTCAGTTATGTTTTTCACTGAACTTAGGGACAATATTCATATGTGATAATGGAGCTGAGAAGGAATAAGTAGGCTTCACCTTCAAAATAAACCTTTCTGGCTTGTTACTGTTGCTTGTGCACACCTAATTCTGTGCTTCAGTGACTGCGGATATGTTTCAGCTATTCTCCCAGGACTGTTTATTTTAGCTAAGGTGCTAAGAGGGGCGGATTGATTTTATACTTATTTTATGTTTGGATTGTGGCTAGCTTACAGATCCAAACCATTCACAAGAATGGGTATGTAGTTGCTGCCTACAGAAAAAAAGAGATTAGGTCAAATGAGGAACTGATAAAAAAAAGTAATATGCAACAAGTTTAATTATGAAGAATGCACCAAATGTGGATCATGCTCAAAATATCAATACAGTGAGAAGAAGAGAAAATAGCATAAAATGTTTAATTCTCCTATTTAGTCTTATTTATATGCTGGACATGTTTATATGAAATGATATAGACATTTCCGAATTAAGAAAAAAAAGAAGTGGTTGACAAGAATTTTAAAAAGTTAGTTGAGCCCCCATGTGGGCCCCAACCTCTCACAGACACACAAGCATCACATCTTACACACACACTTATGCACAGCACACACACTTGTCTTGTAAGAGTGTAATCACTGGTCAGTCTCTCTGAAGCACTACATTGATGAGCTATGATTGTTCCTGATTGGCTAAAACCCCAAAGACAAAGAGACAGTGAAATATTGAAAATGGCAGTTAACCAGTCGCAATCATTTCACATGTCTACATAGTTTATGAGAGTCCTGAAATTTCATGCTGTTTGTTTCTTTTGTGCTGTTAGATTTGAGGAAAAGCAACTAAAGCGCTACCAGGGTTCACAAAGTAGAATTTTTTTACGATCATTTAAATAGTACTTTAGCGAATGATTTGAGTTGAATTGTTGAATTTTTTTCCTTTTTGGGGGGGGTGGGGGATTAATATTTTGCACTGATTAAAAGTGACAGCAAACATACTCATAATGTTACAAAAGATTTCAATTAAATATTATTTGTTGGTTTGTGTATGGTTTACACACAAATATTAAGCAGCACAGCTGTTTTCAACATGGATAATAAGAAATGTTTCTTAAGCACCAAATCAGCATATTAAAATTATTTCTGAAGGATCATGTCACACTGAAGACTGGAGTAATGGCTACAAAAAAAAAATAAATAAAAATAAATCAGTTTTAAACACAAGTATGTTTTTGGTCATAAAACATACAAATACCTAGTGATTTTGGCACATAGGTCTCAAAGCCGAGGACTGGGTCAGCAGATAGTGTCTGACAGCTCTTGTCCTCAGGACTTATTGTAAAAGCATGAGGCCACTGTAGGTTTGTTTATGCTTTCTTCCATGCAAGCTGTCTGTTCAGATTCCTTTCAGTGAGCAGAGATTAATACTGTTGGATCTCTGGTGTAAACAACACTGAGCAAGGCAACCTTAGCCATTGGTATATTTGTAAACAGGCAGTAAATGCATGACATGTCACATGTTGTTTGATGCCAGATATTATATGAATTGTCAGGTAGGATTTGCTTCAGGTTTAAGGGTGTTACAGACCCAGGTAAGGACATATAGAGATGTTTGTAGAGTACATAAGCATGTCATACAATTAAGCGTGTGTTCACATTCATGTACATATTCTTAGTATCCTAGCAGCAACTAGTATTCTTACCTAAAAAAAAAACAAAAAAAACTTGTTTTATAGTCTTCTAGAATCTGAGTCTCAAATTTAAATATGCAGTGAGACAAATATTTACTAACCGAAGAATCCTGTTTGTATACACAGCTACTGCCACGGTCACTTCAGCCAGGGCGACAGCCAAGGAACTTGTCAAAGCAGCAGTTTGAAAAGGTGTTTGATATGCTGAAAAACAGGTAAACTCCCCCCAGTCACACTGAGCAAACAGCAGCTATTTTTGAGCCATGTGACAGTGCTTAAAGCTGGAAACACAGTGGCTCACTTCATGTGACTTTCTAATTAGAGTCTTTATGCTAAGACCGATGTCAGGAAGGCAAAGTATTTGTGACGTGTGGTGAAAAAAATTTAATGTAAATAGAAAGCAAAACTCTCTATATACCTGCATAGACAGATAGACACTAAAGAGTACACTAAATGCAGCAAAAAAGAAAAACATTCTAATTTACATAACCAAGTTATGAAATATAGTACAGGGAGTCAAATCAATGAATAATTTTCACAAATTATCAGAACGAACCGAAAACCCAGAAAACCATTTAGGAGAGCGGGTTTGATCATTACTTCAGCTTGGACATTAAAGGAATAGTTGACTCAAAAATGAAGATTTGCTGATTTGCTCAGGCCATCCAAAGTAGTTGAGTTTGTGTTTTGTTTCTGAACTGATCTGGAGAAATTTAGCATCACATCACTTTCTCAACACTGTATCCTCTCTCTGCAGCGAATGGGTGCCGTCAGAATGGGAGTCCAAACAGCTGATAAAAACACAATAATCCACAAATAATCCACACGACTCCAGTCCATCAATTAACATCTTGTGACGTGAAAACCTGCATATTTGTAAGAAACAAATCCATCATTGATACGCTTTAACCTTAAACCATAACTTCTGGCCAAAATACGAGTCCATAATCAATAATAACACTGAAAAAAAGCCATACCCTGATGTCCTCTAACACCAAAATCCACAGACATATTTGTTTAGACCTGTTTGCACTGTTTTCACTTGTGAACGGTGTTTGATCTGTGAATATTAGATGATTCATAATTAGAAAAATCGTAAGATGATCTTTTTTTACTGGAGAAAGCAATATGCAGAGGACTGATATTTTAGCTGGAAGCAGTGGTTTCAAGTTAAAACATTTTAATGATAGATTTACAAAATTTTTTTCAAATCTGTTCTGATGAAGAAACACTCATCTACACTTTGGATGGCCTGAGGATGAGTCAGTTATCAGCAAATGCTCATTTTTGAGGTGAACTACTTTAAAAACAGCACTTTAATACTGTTTGGTCGTGCTACATTGCTGCTCACTGGTTAAAGAAGTTTGTTACTGATATAAGCATAAAAAACATCCAAATATAGTTAATTTAGCGTTGCTGCATTTAGCACATCTCTACCTAGAATTCTTAGGCTTACCATTATCTGAACTTTACATTACATGGTTTGTGGTTAAATCTATTTATTCTGTGTGAGTTATATCCAATACCTGCACATTTTATGTGATAGGAGAAATACAATTGTCCCATTAAGACAAGTGTAGAGTTGTATGCGGGGCCATGAAGAGCTCTATTCATTGTAGAATCAGAGTTCAGTTTGTCCCACTAACCAAATAGCACCTTTCATCTTCAGCTCTTTACAGAGCTACTGAAGTGGAAGGTAAACTTTGCTCTCCTCTCCCTCCTTTCGCTCCTCTCTTTCCTTTCTTGGCGAGCAGTTGGCCTCACACTGTGTGGCTCGTTCTTAATGCCACAGAGAGAATAAAGTTTGTGAATATATCACATGGGTGACAGTGATGGTTTTCAGAGGAGCTCTGCACACATGGACATACACCTGCACCACCAAATGAGAGTCTCTTCAGCTGGAGACTAGTTGGAAAGACAATTAAAGTAAGAATGTATGGGCGCTGACAGCAATGGTATTTAGTAACCAAAAATAATTGTTTCATTTCAATTAACCTTTGCTGTCATTGCACGGCTCTGTATCGGTAGGCTGTTGACCTTTGGAAAATATCAAAACAAGACTCTCATTCGGCTTTACAGAGGTGGCTTGTGGGAGGAAAAAATCCTTAAAACACCTTTAAATACATAATAGAGCCAATGCCATTTTCCACTGAAATTTAGTTGGTGCGTTGGCGTATAGATCTCCACCAGAGAACGTCAGCATACTAAGAGGACCAATGCAAAAAAAAAAAATCTCTAATTTCCTCACCTTATCGAGTATGACGGTGATCACCGATATCCCCCACCACCAGCATTTCCCCCCGGTTCTGCCAAATTACTCTCTTCTTCTCTGCAGGTGTATTGATAAAGGAAATCATCTTCTTTTGAATTAAAATTAGGCATAAAACTATTTACAAGAGGAACAGAGTATATTGTATATTGCAACGGCTAAAACCAGAGAGAGAGAGCGTGAGGGAGAGAAAACTATTAACAGACATCATTATTATTTTTTTTCCAATCAAATTTGAGCTATCCTTGGATCTCACTAATGGACAGTTATTGAATTTCTCGCAATACCATTGACATGATGTTCATATCTGCAGAGAGAGAGAGAGAGAGGAAAAAATGTCCTCTCATTTTATCCCTTAGAACATTGGTTTATCATAAGACCCCTTATTAAGCTTGGACTCTAATTTTCTCCTTCGCACTTAGGGGGGCTTTTATGATTATGGTTACCAAGGTGATGTAAGGCACAGCCTCAGCTAAACAAAGCCAGTGTCACTAGAGTGAATAACCAAGAGCAAGGTGAGCACCACCACGGGAAATTGCATGCCATTACTGTTAATATTTACTCATTAAAACAGCCAGTGGCTGGAGAGATGCTTGCACAATTACTAATTTTTCAAATCAACCACTGCACATACCCTTCATTATGACCTCCAAGTTCTTTGTCCTTTTGAGAAGATACGCTATATGAAACTGAGTGCAGTCATGTTGTTTGTCACAGGAACGAAACGAGTCTTATGTGTTGTATATATTTGCACTTAAAGTATTAGGAGGCAGATTTGATAGCTGTTTACTGCTTAAATGCTGCCACAACATTCTGATTGTTGTGGAAAGTAATAAATAAAAGAACTTTGTTTGTTTACAATGATAGGAGGTTAATGCAGAAAGCATTTTAGACAGAAAGCTGTTTTATATATACAATGTTTTCCTTTGTTAGACAGTTTCTATATGAGAGCAGTCTTCAAGCAAAAACTTTTGTGCTTTTTAGGTGTGGAAACACTTTAGTCATGGGCCATAGGATTAAAAACACACTGACCAAATCATCGGAAACTTCAAATGAAGAGGACATTTTGAGCCTAGAAAGACAGGCTTTTTTGTCTCTGTGAGAAATGATGTCTAATTTGGTCCAAGCGGTTGGATTGCTTGTCAGGTGCGTTATTTCAACTATGGACAGTGAATGACAAAACAATAGGGCACTGAAAGAGAATTGTACAGAGTGTAGAAAGGAAACGAAATACTGCCTCCAAAAACCAACTCCTTTATGTGTCGAATGATCAAATAGAGGTTTTAGAACTTTTAAACCGTTGACAAAACTGACAGAACAAAGAGGAAAAAAAGATGAGCTGTCAGTCATCACAAAAAAAAAGAGAAAAACTCCTGCACATATGCTAGCAACAACTAAAACGGCAAATGGCATACTGTCACATGATACTTGCAAAAAGAATAGTTTAATTATTTCAAAACGGGAGCATCTGTCATATCATCACAATTTCATTTCTGAAAGATATTCACTGATCGTAACCCGTCTGCTTTTATTTCAGATGCATAAAAATCATGAAAAGTTGCCTCGGTTAGTTTGCTTAATACACCCAGTATTTAATCACTGTGCCTTTTTGCTTTTTTGTCATTGTGTGCAAAATAAGAACAAGTTTGTCGTATGCAACCAGTTACATCACTAGAGAGTTTTTACATAGTTGCCGGCTTTGAATGAAAATTACCCAACTGCTGTGTGTTATGAAGTGTAATAATTAGTATCAAAATACAAGTTTCAGCAATTTAGTTGATTTTTCATTATTATTGTATAAAGCCTAATTTCACTGCAACCTAAATTAAATGTAATTAGCTTACAAACTGAGCATATTAAGTGGCACAGGCTATAAACAAAGTTTGTAAATCAGATTTCTTTCACTGTGCCTTTAATAAGAATACTTTTTTCTTTAAATAGTTGGTGACAGTCGTACAAGTTTCATGCCAGTCAATTCTATCATAAACCATTAAAAGTCTGTTGTTGATGCCAAACTTTTTTGGAGGGTGTAATATCTCCAAACTTTGTTGGAAATATGTCCGTATTTTCCTACCTAAGATTTTGAAATGTGCCTATTATATTGTGATTTTATGTTCGTAATTATAGCCCTTTGCATCTTTAAAACGATTGTCTAGTTTATTGATAAGAATTTTGCAGATAAAATACAAACTTTGTTGGAAATATGTCCGTATTTTCCTACCTAAGATTTTGAAATGTGCCTATTATATTGTGATTTTATGTTCGTAATTATAGCCCTTTGCGTCTTTAAAACGATTGTCTAGTTTATTGATAAGAATTTTGCAGATCAAATACTCATCTGATGGCTTTATATATTTTTATAGTATTATTATTTTATAAAGCCTAGCTTCACTGTGACATGAAATGTAATTAGTTTAAAAACTGAGCATATTAAGTGGCACAGGCTATTTAAAGTTTTAAGTTTTTAAATTAGCTTTTACTCTACATTTATACAAATTGAAAACTATGTTAGGTTCTCTAGTTTATTGTTCAGAATTTGCACATAAAATGTTCAAATACTTGATACGTATGATTGATAATATTTTAAAGTCATGTGCATCTGCTGGTGCCATATTTCCGCCTAACGTTAAGACCTGACAACATTATATAATTACATGCTTTCAGCTAGTCTAAGAAGCTTGTCGCTAATAAGGAAAGGGGTCAGGTGCAAATGTTTAAGTAAAGGAATGCATTTAAAGTTCTCTTTAAAAGTGCTGAGCTGCAGGATTGCATTGTTAGGGTCGGGTTTAGAGTGAATGAATTTACGGCTACATGTGAGGAAAAAGAATGCATGTTGTAATTATCAGTGCATGACCTACATTGACACGTAGGCTGATATAACTTCTAATCTGTTTGTTGTTTAATGCCAAAAGTAAGCCTGACTTGAGGTTTCTGTTCAGTCAGTTCTACAGGAGCAGAGCAATCATCTGCACACCACATTTATTTCATGTTGCTGTTAAGACTGCCCAGCCTCGCCTGCTGAAGCCACACTAAAATTGCCCTGCTGTGCAGAGGAAGGCCTTTAATCTCCCACCACCACCCTCTGCCAAGTCTGTAATCTCACTAATCTCCACCACATAGCACGCAAACACGCAGAGAATCCCTGTGCATCCATTCTGCCCAATCCCAGCAGAGCGTGCCCTATCCGACAGCATTCGCCTCCATTAGTACGAAGGGGTGGTCATTTGTTTGGGGGATGGGTTTCAGTGGGCGGAAATGGACCCGACCATCGCTCCACTTCCGCTATGAGCCCATTGCGTGCAAGGCTGGAGTATGTGCGCCGGTGCCAACTATTGAATTCCCAGCACAGAGGGACTTCTCAGTGGTCCAGGCAGTGGGCTCTGTCAACCCAGAATAACCTCATTTAGCAACATGTTGGGTGTGGTGGAATAACAGGGCTATTTTTGTTTCCTTGCTTTGCTAGAGAAACAGTTTACACAGCCGGATGACCGATCTGTGCAGAAATTTGCATGAGCCTCTTATCCACACTGTTGCCCAAACAACTCTGAACTGATCAACATAAACATAAAAGCATAAGCAGGGTTTAAATGAAATCTTTGCCACGTTCGAGATTTGAATAGGTGAACCAGACAGTATTTTGGTCACTGTAAATGGTGATGATGTAAGGAATTAATGTAAGGAGTTGGGGTTTGTGGAAATGTATATCGGCCACCTAGACTCCCACCCCGAACACCCCACGTTCCCCTTCACTGACTCCCTGACATTTCTCTGAGCCATGCACTTGAAATGTTGCACTGTAATTGATGTTGATTCTAGCATGTGTGCAGGCTGCACTACAAATTAGGATGGAAAAGGTTATCATAATATTTAGCTAGTCTAATTTATCAGCTGAACAACTTCCCAATGGAGAAATTCAGAACAGGAGGATATATTTTAAGTGAAAATGAAAGTTTTCGGGTATACACTCACTGTGAAGTAACAAGCAGGCCATGAGAGCTAGTTCTCTGCTGAAAGTTTTGCTAAACTTGTTTCTCAGGATTCATCAAAATACGCAAATGCACTGTTCACATATTGCTCAGTTTGATAATTAGGCACAAAATAGTTTATGCAATATGGCCATAGGCTATAAAAAATTCAACCCACTAGAACTGTAGTTTAAAATCGTAAGTTTAATTGCTACCTTACATTTTAAGAAAAATTAAAGTGCATGTGTCAAAGTGACAACCTGCAATGATGAGTTTATTGCACTTTTTTAACCACTTTGGATTTATTTCTATTGAAGAAAATCACGTTGAAACTGAAAACATGACACATAAATATGCAACCTTAAATTATTGTGTCAAGTTACACTGATGGACACAAAAAATAAATTATATAGCCTAAAAGAATAAAAACATTTTTGCAGTATGCAAAAATATATGAATGATTGATTACATGTATAATTATTATGCTTTTATTATTCATATGTATAATAAATTAATAATTATTTCATTTCTGTTGAACCGTTTTTCTTTACTTTTTAAAAATATATATATTTGTTTACACACTTACTCGTTTGTCAATATCTGATCTGTATCAGTTTCTATTTTGGCGTCCCCTAGCGTTCTACCTTAACACTGTAATCATTGTTATAATGAGACAAAAACATACATTTAAAATGTCTTGAACCCATTTAACTGTCATGTTTATTAAAATATATATATTTTAAAATATTTGTACATTATCAGAAACATACATTTTATATAACCGAGGATAAAACTAAGCATAACATTAGTTAATTATTGTATTGTTTTGAGTATGGTCATAACTTTCTTCTGCATTTTATTTTATATCATGTATATTTTATCCTTATTTTTGATTATGTAAATTGTATTTTAGTATTAAAAATAGCAACGTTATGATTGAGGTTAAAGCTATCCTTTGATCCGATAAGACCATAGTCTTGCACATATCTCAGGTCAGAATTATGTTTTTCTAGCTGGAAGAATTTGATAATATAAAAGCAAAACATTTTTCTAACATGTTTTAATCTTTGTTTTAATTTCCAGAGGATAACTGGGGGTTGATGAAGCTGTCGCGCGGCGTATAGCTCACAGCTGCACGTGCAGGTTTTGCCCACAGATACCTGCCACGCGCAACACTGACCTGTTTTCACATAATCAAGATTTAATTTGATGGGTCGCTTAAGTCAGTCCAGTATAGCGAGACATTTTTGATTCAAGGTAAAAGATATTATGCATAATACAGTCAATAGATAATTGAAACATTGCTGATTAAATGTCAATTTACAACAAAAAGTCTATAAAATAGGCTACTGTTTCACCAATAAATTATAACAGACTGGCTGCTTTTTATATTTAGACTTCTGGAAGTATGCTTTATCGTTTGAAATTAATATCACACAAAGAAATGAAGCAGCCTAACTCTTTGACTCGTGAACTGAAAAGTCATTTATTCGGCAATTTTTTTTTTTTGCACCGTCTGGTTTCATGTTTGCTGCTCAACACGGAATCGGGGAAAATATTTGCGTGTTTTGTCTGACAGAACCAAATAATTCAGACGTGCGAAACTATTATATTTGTTTTCCTTTTGGTGAAATTGTCTGTGCCAACGCAGCCGGGATGAAGAAAAACGGAGTTACTACGGCAACAATCCTTTCAGGATATATGTCTGTCTCTCTCCTTTTTTTTTTTTTTTTTCATAAATATGCAATTGCAGAACATATGGTTACTCGCTGTCAAAGCTGTGATTCTTCATTTGCATACTAACTATTTTCCGAGTACACATTCCCTAGAAAACATGTGCAACTCCAGCAGATACATAATATATGAGAGGCAAAAAAAGACAAATGTGTTAATAAGAAATCTACTAAGGCATAATTTAATACATGTATTGCTTTTATATTACTTGATTATTGCCCCTTCTTGCAGGAAACGCGGATATTAGCCTACATATTTTAACGGTTAATGTATTTGTTTCGTAACCACAAATGTGTTAATAAGAAATCTACTAAGGCATAATTTAATACATGTATTGCTTTTATATTACTTGATTATTGCCCCTTCTTGCAGGAAACGCGGATATTACATATTTTAACGGTTAATGTATTTGTTTCGTAACTGTTTTTATTGTTGAGAAATTAAGTTCTTCACTAGTTGTTTATTTTAGAAGACTACCGAATGTGGACATTCTGTTACTGAGACATTTTAAGACTTGTTCGTTTAATGTAGATTTAAAGTAAGGCCTATTTTAAATGAATAATAGATACATTTATTTTCAGCATTGTGAAAAATGATTTAGCTATCAGTATCGACTGTTTGATTAGATTAATTTACTATATTTTATATAAAATACTAATTCTACGAGGAATCTCACTCATATAATTTCCTAACCTATTTTATTTTACACTATAGGTTTTTATTTTGAATGTTGTCTTTAATCATTTTTAGTGATTAAAGATTAAAGATTTTAATTATCGTTGTCTTTAATTATTTTTTTAGAGATTAAAGATGAAACATTTCTTCAATCCATGTTTTCAATCGAATTTCTTGTTTTTAAATGAGATATGACTCGTATACCGTGCATTTTCCTTTTGGTCGTGTAACACCTGCACTATTGGCTCTATTCTCCATCTATTGTGGGGAGGAGTTTGGGTGAGAGAGAGAAAAAACAGACTCAAATCATGCATAACTCGATAGACAGCCCATCTGTAAGATTCTTCCCTTTCTTTCAGTCTGAGCTCGTCATCTCTTGTCCAGGAATAGGCTGATGGCGTTGTGTAAAAATGATTCATGAAGACCGACTGCTGTTTTAGAAAGGAACATTTTCTATTTAAACGGGCAAAAGTTAGGGAAATGTAAGAAAAACGCGTTTTCCTGATAAAATACGTTTGGAGACGAGCTGGATAGCCTATATGTAGCCAATAGCCAATACAGCCTATGTAAATGTGTAAAAATGGGAATGAGAAAATGATAGAAATTAGAAAAACGTTTAACGACATATAGCCTAGGTTACGATAACAAATGTCGCGCAAAATAAGATGTTTACATTATACGTAACAAGTAAAAATTTCTGTTTAAAACAGACAGTATTAAAAAAAAAATCAACGAGTGAATGAATGAATTATCCTAATAATATAATAGTTTCCTTGTACACGTCGTAAGAGATTTAAGTGATAATACGGGGAATTTTAAAAACGGAAAAAGATAGGCCATATTTTGATGCTATGTTTAATTTTTCGCGATTGAGTTTTTACAAAATGTTGTAGCTAATATTGTTAGCTGTGCTGTCAATCATTAGGTGATGTAGAATCTTGTTGACAAAAAACAAAACTCTAATTTGTTGTGGAAAATCATGGCATTAAAATCCATAGGTCCATAGGCTATACCAAACACACTGTAGCCTACGGCGTATATTTCCTTCACAGCCTCGTTTTCAATCACGAAAAATTCTAACACAACTTTATTCTTTGTTTAAATACTTAAAATCTCCTTACGGATTACAACTTCCCATACTAATACTCACATTTGGTAATAGGCCACATCCATTACATTACTTGATTTTGGTTGTATTAATTTTGTCTGCTAATCTAATTCTGTAGCCGTCTGTAAAATGTTGAGATTTGTAGTGTCCCACCCATAGACTGTATGGTCCCACCGTACCAACTTTCAGGTTTTAATGCTGCATAAGCACACAGCGCCATCTGTCGATTAGGAACCACTCTTCCTGAGGGCAGACAGCATATAACACCTTCTTGATTTGGCAATGAAGCAGCAGCGTGCCAAAAACACTAGCCCACAGTACATGATCTTTTTCAAGCACTATGGCTTTATCACTCACCTTTGGGCTCTTATCTTCCAAACTGCCATTCTGTGACTTGCACTCATTCCAGCCCATAATTATATAACTAAAGAAATATTTGTTAACATTTAATCAGCCATTTGGACAGAATTGCTGATATCAGTGTTACACTTCTTATCCTCACTTAAAGAGAACACTGAAAAAAACACACTGAAAATCTGTCATGAGCACATAATACTTTATGTGTACACAACCAGCTGCACTTTATTATCCCAACATCTCTGAAGAAAGCAAAAAAAAAAAACGTTTCCAGTCCACATGCAGTGTTGCACAGAATACTAACATAACCAACCCCCAAAGTACCACACACACACACACACACACACACACACACACAGACAAACACACACACGCAACATTCATAAGCACATAAACACAAAACCACAAAAGCTATAAATGCTCTCCGCTATACATTCGTCAAGTAATCGTCAATTAAACAGGTCACACCAAAATCTTTGTGGTGGTATTTCTTAGCAGAATAATTTAGTTAATAAAAGACTTTATAAGTTAATTTTATAACACATTTCTTATATATTGTGACTTCTTTTGTGACTTATACAAATAGTGCTGATACAGTGTTTTCGACCGTGTAATGGCAAAAATAATAATACTAATACTAATACATAATTTTATTCTAAGATTAAGCTCCAAAGTCCTTAAGAACAAAAGGAGCCTGTAAGTTATGTTTGTTCATAGTAGTTTAAGTGCAATTGTTTTGTTAGATTTTTTTTATACAGTATATTTGGGTATGATTGTATTTCTGTGTATGGCTAGATTGGCTTTTGTGGCTTAGGCACTGTGTGTATAATGACATTTGTGCTTGATCTGTAGTGTACTGTTAAATGAAATTGTGCGGTACTTTTGTTAGGATTTGTCAAGGCATTTACAGTTGGCTAAAGTGGAGATTTTGCAGTATAGAGTTGGCTTGAGCTCCGTTGTTGTGCCCTTAAAGGGGTAGGCAGCAATTTACAGAACACTGACTCTGTCGCTGAGCATGCCCATCACGAGCTCGTCAGACTCCGCCTCTTCACGGACATCGGCATGAGGGTTGATTAAGTGGGCTGGGTACTGAAGGCCATTTTGTTCTGCAAAATGCTCCCAGCGCAAATCATCGCTTTCGTGGGTGATATATCGCTCCTGCATTTTGCACTCCAAAGTCCGCAGGTCCAGCCACATCTGGTAGTCCTGTCATAAAGATATATCTTTAGGGATCAAAAACGTTCCACACTGTTAAATAAATAAATAAAACACTTTCTATCTGTCTGTACTTTCAGATTGCAGTACATTTTCATGACTATTTTAACACAAAGTACATTTTTTCATTGTTTTAATAATCTTTTGTGCTTTGAAGTACACTTGTTTTGACATGTTGACTAACATAATAAAGCAAATTTAAAGTACTTGATTATAATATTCCATTTGCTATTTAATATTTTTAAAATATATTTTAAATAGCAACTTAAATTACAAATGTGTAATTACAAATATATTCAAATACAAGTTTCAACATAAATTACATTATTAGTATATTTTATTTGACCATAAATGCTTGTTAGTACATTCAACAGTAAACTTTAATCATGTTTCAAAGACAATAGAAGTAATTATGATATTGCATATAAAGATGTACTGAAGTCCTACTAAAGTGAGTCAGAAAAACACTCAAAGTTCAGCTAATTGCATTTAATATCAATTTAAAATAGAATACACTTTCATTTGCTATGAACATGGAGTTAAGTGTCTGAAAACATTACATTCAGTTCTCTGTTGTTTGTTTTTCAAAGGTTAATTTGAAAATGTAAAAATAGAGTAGAAATGGAAGAAATTATTGCGACAAATTAAATGGGCGAAAGCAAAGATGTAACATGATGAAAAAATTGCAGCACATGAACAGCAGTAAAATATTTTTCTAGTTATTATAATTGTCATAAACATTTCTAAACCTCTTTTACACAATTTCCTATAATGCGTGATATCTATCACATGCTATGCATGTAAGAAATGATCAATTAAGATGACCAGTCACTGGCATTGAACGGTTATTCTCGCCTTGTTGAGACATTAATATTCTCTTACACAGACGTGGGGGGTAACTGTGCCCGTTTCAGTTGCCTAATGTGACTGTGGGGGTAAACAAAGTTTTTTGTGTGCATATCATAGCTTCTTTTTTTTTTACGCAGGGCATATAAAAGTCATTATCTTCTAACCTGTAACCAGGGATGGCTGAGAGACTTGTCCACGCTGTAGCGCTTCCTCATTTTGACTTGCAGCAGGTTATTAATGAGGTCAATTGCTGTAACAACAAAACAGGTTGTCAGTGACCAGGCTGTGGTGGAAAACCTGAAGAATTTTGTGTCCAGATGGATAGTGAGCAAAACCAACATCATGTTAACATTATTTCAGGGGTCACAAATTTCAGAGACACTCCAAAGTTTCTTAACCTTGAGGCCTCCGCGCTTTAGTCTAAGGGATCGTTTGGCATTATTCACATGAATGGGTCGTAACAAAAATTGAGCACGCTCTCACCAATCTCTTTTCTTAACCTTTGCCCTCTCTTCTCTTCATCTTTTCTTTTCCCTTTCCTTCTCTTTCACCTCTCTCTCCCACATCTACACAGTTAACCATTAGCTTAGTTTTACAGTTTAACATTTAATGTTACTACACTACACTTTTTTATAATAATAATTTTGAAATCAATTTTGGAAAAATAATACATTTCATATTTTGTCAAAATTATTTCAAGTATTTATTATTACATTATAATGAATTTATATTTTTATATAAATATAAAATTATATTTATATTTTTTACATTATATTTTTACAGAGAAAATCCAAAAATATAAATTCTGTGTATTTACCATTGCACATGCAATGAAATGCATTGCAGTAAAAAAAACAAATCTAACCTAATTTGTTCTGAAATTTCTCCAAATGTTTTGTAACTTGTTTTATGAAGCAGATACTGTTTGTTATGGCACTTAAATATTTTCACTTCACAGTAAACAGGAACAAATTCAATTAAAACAGTTTTAAAAACAAATTGTTAAAATGGTCATACTTGATACCAACCAAACTATATAAAAAAAAATAAAAATCTATGTGAATAATTTGTTCCAATTGCCTGTGTTCTTAAGTAAGTAAAGTGTGGTCTCTAGTTCTCTTGCTATTTTAATGAGGAAGAAGGAGGGCATTAGTGAATAAACAGGGTCAAAGGTGAGGGCATCAAAAATCTAGTTAAGGTAATGAGATGGAGGTCAGTTCTATTCATACAGATTGCATATGACTTAAAGGTAAATATTACCTATCGTAGACCTCAATTCAAGCCTTTACTTTGAATGAATACTGACTGTATCTTCCTAGATCATGAACCGCAAGCTATGCAGAAATGATTTGGGTGAGTTGAGGTCATCTATGTGTACAGTCACAGGGCGGCGATAATTAGAGCTTCAGTAGGAACATCAAGCTGAAGTATGACTTCAAAATAGAGTTTAACGTCACATAACTAGGTGCATATCAGTAGCAGGCTGGCTAGAAATAGCATTTCTTGTGCAGTGAGGTCATATTCGTACATTAGCTAATGGAAGTTAATTCGTAATAACTAGTCTAATAAGGTTATTCGCATACAGCTGGCCATGTGAGGTTAGATTCGCAAAATAGCTCTGTGCCTGGATTAACGCTTACATTTTGAGTATTAACACGCATATTGGATTCTAAATCATTTCCAGCTTAGAGAGGTTAATACAGCTTCTGACTTGGTTTAAATGGTTATTTCAGTATTTCACAACCTTTTCAATGTATTTACTACAAAATCTGATCGGAGACAAAAGGTTTTGTTGTTAAAGGGATAGTTTGCCTAAAAATAAAAATGTATTACCTCAGCAAAACATGTATTTGATTCTTCTATGGAAAACAAAAGATGATATATTTGAAAATTTTTGTCTATATCATTAAATTCAAGGGGGCTCAGAACAACACTGGACTATGGGTCGACCGATTATCGGCACCGATATTAAGCATGTTTATGGTTATCGATATCGTTATCGAAAGCCCTTGTTATTCTTAATTTTGACACCAGTTTTTACACCAGACATATATATTGGTTCAAAATATCGGTTATCTGTCTACATGATCTGTAATAATCGGTATTGGCAACGGCCCTGAAAAATGCATATCGGTCAACCCCTACATTGGACCCTAATGACTTGTTTGGACAAAAAAACACTGAGAAGCTTTTCAGAATATATTATTGGTTTTGAACGGCATGAGGGTGATTAAATGATGAAGCAATTTTCATTTTCAGAGTGAACAAATACCTTTAAACACAACTTTACCTTCTTCATTCCACATTCATTGAAGGTTGTGCCACATACTATCCGTTCTCCCCAAAACTTACCCTCTGGGGTGACTGTTTTCCAGGGGTTTGGCGGGTACATGAAAGCAGCGTTCTGGATTTGGTCATGAATGTCTTCATCCTCATTAAATGGGAAGGTTCCACTGAGACTGACATAGACGATGACACCCACCGACCACATGTCCAGCGAGCGGTTGTAGCCCTTGTTCCGAAGCACCTCCGGGGCGAGGTACGCCGGGGTGCCCACCACCGAACGCCTAAAAGACTTCTCACCAATAATACGTGCAAAACCGAAATCACACAGCTTCACCTGCAAGACAAACCGCAGAATAATGAGCTTCACAATAAGCAGACACAGGGAGGAATTGGCTATTTTACTCGACTAGGACTGAGATGCACAAAAGACCAAAAAAATAACATCCTTTTGTTCTTGCGCTAGCTTTTAACACCACAGACGCCATAATGATCAGTTGTCACGGTCTGAACGAAAGTCAAGTGAAATTATCACCCAGTTGGATGTGGTTACAATGTATCTCCTGCTGATCTACACTTTCCACCTCTGAAACATTTGCGCACAGCAACAAGCACCTGAGGACACGAGAACCGAGCTCAGATGTTGACAGCTCTAGTCCTGCTTCCACCTTTGCCAAATATTTGTAAATGACACGCAGTGATTTGTTTAGTATTCTTCCAAAATGTTTGCCTGCGCTCAAACAGTGAGTCATCTTTCTGCTTGAGAGCTTCCAGAGACAAGCTCGTGCAGCAGACAGAAGAAACAATGGGAGGATAATTTAGAAATCTTTCATTAGAATGTAGAGACACACACAAACCTGTGCCTCGAACACACCATGAGAACGCTATAATTACCATCTTTTATTCTTGCACATTTACAAAAACAGATCCATTTATGTTAATTTCGGTGTGGCCTCACTTCATTCAGATATTTCCTTTCTTTTGTTGTCACTTCTCGTTCTGTTCGGATTTTACTCACTTGTGGAAAAGAGTCAGCGGAGGCTAACAAAACATTCTCAGGTTTGAGGTCACAGTGAACAATGTTTTTGAAGTGAAGGTGGCGGAGAGCGATGAGAATCTAGGAAAAGAGTAGAACGCTGTTATTATTATAATGTGGTATAAAACATCATAAATAAAAAATGCAAAAGCAAAGGTCCAGCTTTACCATTTTTTTTTCGCTTTAAATATTTATATGGGATTGTGTGTACTGATTCTGCCATTGTTGGGCTGGAGTCAAGAGTGTGCGAAACACAGTGCCTGTGAGACGAACCTGCGTAACGAGAAACTTGGTGATGCGTTCTGGCAGCCTCCCCTTCTCACTTGACAGTATCATCTCCAACATGTCGCCATGGAGCTTCTCCATGACAACAAAGACACGCTCTGGTGTCTCAAACATGCACTCAAGGTTGACGATGCCGGGATGGTGGAGGTTCTACATAAGACATATGTGACATCTGTATTAACATCTATATTAATTATAACAATTCCAAAATGATCAATACTGTAATATTGACATTTAATTTAAAAAATAATCAAATAATAATAATAGTAATAATAATCTATTATATTTGTTATTATTAAAATAAATAAATATTCTATTTCTATTCTTCTATTTTTATGTCTTTAGAATGATATATATATATATACATATACTGCTTTACAAAAGTTTGAGATCAGTAAGATTTTTAATGTTTTTTAATGTCTCTCATGCTCATCAAGGCTGCATTTGTTTAATCAAATATACATACAAAAAACAGCAATATTATGAAATATTATATCAATTTAAAATAGCAGTTTTCTATTTTAAAAATTAATTTATTCCTGTGATCAAAGCTGAATTTTCAGCAGCCATTACTCCAGTCTTCAGTGCTACATGATCCTTCAGAAATCATTATAATATGCTGATTTGATAATCAATCAGCATATTAGTTATTATCAGCATCGGAATATTTTTTGGAACCTGTGGCACATTTTTTCAGAATTCTTTGATAAATAAAAAGTTAAAAAGAACAGCATTTATTTAAAATAATTTTTTTTACTAACATTATTAGTTTTTACTATGACTTTTTATCATTTTATTACATCCTTGCTGAATAAAAATATTAATTTCTTTCAAAAAAGAAAGAAAAAAATTATACTGACCCCAGACTTTTGAACGGTAGTGTATATTGTTACAAAGGATTTTTATTTTGAATAAATGCTGTTCTTTTGAACTTTTTTATTCATCAAAGAATCCTAAAAAAATGTATCACAGGTTATTAAAATAAATATTAAGTGGCACAACTGTTCTCTGATTTCTGAAGGGTCATAAGACACTGAAAACTAGAGTAATATATAGTATATATATATATAATTGCAATAAATCCATACTCTTATATATATGTGTGTGTGTGTATGTATATATATTAGGGGTGGAACGGTTCGCGGAAAAAAAACGAACCATACGGTTCTCCACACACGGTTCGGCATGCGCTAGGACCACGGTTCAACTTAAAGCTGACAACGCATCTGTAATAGGCCTATGGTTTGCTATAAATAACACATTAAAAAAAAAAAGGGTTCGGCTGTTTCTGTTGATGGATGCACATTCTGGCTTCCCAGTACAGTACAACAACAGCGATTAAAAAAAAAAAAATGTGAACAAACCATTCACTCTTGTTCAATGCGAATGCCGTATGCTGGAATATGAGCATTTATTCCGTCATCACCCGGGTGCTGATAGCGTGCGCGCACAGGTGAGACCTGAACAGCACACGTTGATAGCTGTGTTTAAAGGGGTCATATGATGCTTTTTTAAAGATCATTATTTTGTGTATTTGCCTTTAAACTAAACTCATGTAAGCTTTGCCAGTTTAAACATTTAAGAGCCAGAGGACGCGAGTTCGCGTGCGCAGTGAGAAGATTTGTGCGCACACTCATCCAAAGCGCGCAAACCCACACCTCAGAACACGCGCAAATATTAAGCTTTCTCTGAAGTGTTGTGTTTAAATGTACAAATTCACACAAAAATTATGTCAAAATGCCCGTCTTGGTAAGTATCCTATAGCAGACATAGCCGGCTGAACGTACTGTATCAGTGCACTGGATCAGTGCATTCTCTTAAAGTGACAGCACTTTCTTAATACTCAAACAGTAACAACAAATAAATCACTCACTGCTCTTGATTGAATAGCTTTTGGAACTTTAATAAAGATTAATCTTTAATTTATACAGTCAAATATGCAATGCTGTTTTACATTTCATTACTTTATTCAATTTCTGTACCTAAAAAACTAATGTTAGACCTACCTAAAAAACCTTCAAAGCACTCTTCATTTTGTTTATCTTTGCTCTATTGTATTTATTTGTGCTGTTGCTTGTAGTTAGATAGATTATTCTTATTTTCTTTATTTTTATTTGACAGTATAGTTTTTATTACAGTATATTTTTATTAGACATTATAGTTAAACATAGCACATACCGAACCATACCGAAACCGTGACTCTAAAACCG